GAAGTTCCACTCTCGGAGGACACGGCCGTTGCAGAGACAATACTCGCTGAGGAAACCGCGGTTCCGGAAGCGACACCAATCGCAGAGTCTGTGCCGCCGCTGGTGCTAGAACATGGTCAATACAAGGATTCGAACCCCACAAATGATCTCGGCTACTCACTTTGTGAATATATATGAGACGTTGCTATAAGGTCCCTCAGCCCAAGTCGTAGTCGGCAGGACGGACGTGGTGACCGAGATCTCATTGGACCTCAAGACCAAGGGTGGGATCGCGTGGACAAGGCTCAGACTGCCGGACAAAGCGAGGATACACAGGCTGCGGGTGAGCATTGTGATGATCTGGGCGAAAAACTGTTCAGACGAGTTCAATGTGGGTTGGTGATTTTTAGTTCGCCCCTCTTGCCGCTTATATACTCGTCGCACGGCTCGCTCTGGGGTTCTACCGCATGCTCGGAAGTCCAGACACTGGTCGCCTGTTGGAGCGCAGTAGGTTCGTGGTCCTTGGTGATTCATTCATTTCCCACTCGGTGAACTGACGGCCGTCATGCGTAGCATAAATGTTAGGGCGATATATTTCCGCTTAGAGTTAGAAAGCCTCCCCCATGATACCGCAGCACTGAATAAGGTCTCAATATTGGGACTCCTCACTCGTAGTAGTGTCCTCTAACGCCTCCCGGGCCGGTTTTGAACTTCCATCACTGCATGCCGTCTGGTCGAGAATTTAAGTTGGTGTTAAATTTCAGTAAATTGAATTCATGAAGAAGATGTGGTGGAATTGTACGGGCACCACTTGTTCACTTCCGAGTCAATGTTATCCAAGGCTTGGACATGATCATGATCGACGGCATGTAATGCTGGTACCGGTCCCGGAGTGATGAAGCCGTTGTGGGACATTCTACTTGCGCATGAGTTAAGTCTTATTTATTCGGGTCTCGATGCGGATCTTCATTGCTGTGCTGATCTTATTTGATATAGTCTTGGGTGTGGTCGAAGCTGTACAAACGAGGTAGGTGTAGTAATTCCTCGCCTGGTTTGTGCGATGGTGCGACGCGCTTAACCTTCGCTTTTCGCACATGACGCCTCATCATCAATATCTATGAGCCGTCAAAGTACGATATGTAACATGAAAAGCTGACGTGGTTCGGCAGTTTTACAGTTTCGGCCTGTCACCTGGTCGAATAGTATACTACCCGTTTTTCAAGCGGGTAGAGTGCTGCGCTTACGGCCGCTGTTCACCGTGAGTGCTGTCTCACCTTAAGGATGACTCAAAAACTGTTAGACAGCGAGACTATCGACGTATGTATGAAACGACTCGGATAGATGTGGCAGATATTAATTTTAATGGTCGCGTCGCAGACAATACAAGCGCAACTAGTGAGTGGCTGTCCTCTCGGTTCGACAGCGAGTTACGAGAAAAGGGACTTGTAGTTACCTGTAGCAATTAAATACATTATATTTTTCTTTCTCTTCCTTTTTTTCATTGCAGCGGACTTGGTTACCGTTACTTATACAAGGTGTCTGTGTCCACCGTCCCCAAGGCTTCAAATTTCAAAAACGGTAAATGCCGTGGTTACACTGGTATTAATGTTATTTTGACCGTCGCAGCTATTTGTACTTCGTCACAATTAAGGCCTATTTTTAAGTAGTCATCGTGGTGCTGCCTCAAAGCCACGAGCTCACCGCTTGCGTTTATTGTGTGGAATGACACTTTAGGTGACATCCCAACCCTGATTGGCACTTTTGCTGTATATTTAATTTCAGCACGACTTCTATCTCCCGCAGTTGCGGCTGTAAATCGGTTGTAAGCCCAAACGAGTCCGCAGTCCTTCAACCAGACCCTCAGGAGAGTGATGTCCGATTTAGTAACATGTGGGCCCTCAGCTTTGCTGTGCCCCCCACCTTCATAGATCGCAATCCCCAATGATCACAACATGAGCAAAGAGACCCGAGAGCAAAAACGACGTGACGAACTTGAAGAGCTTTACGCACCTGGTATACCACGGGCCCTATTAGATTGTCAACACTCATTTTGGTACTCCAGAGGATAGTAACAGCCATGTCCATACGTTTTCAACGCAATTCATTGAGTGACCTAGTTTCCCGGTTTATGAGATTAAAAGGAATATGTTCACGAGATCAACCTGCCTGAACTCGTGGCAGACTCGGTACTCGGCCGCCATGTAGTACCAGTCTGCCGCTGCAGATACGTGACCTGTCCTCAGCGAAGACAGCGACATCTACTCGCCGCGTTCGAGTAGCGATGCATGCCCGCCGCGTTCGGGCGATAGCACATGTCTGCCGCGTCGGACTCCTCCTAATTATGATTAGGCCTTCTGTCCGCGGGTGAGCAACTATTCAGTCATCGACGAACAGGCCCGGTCTTTTCCTTGCTCTCGTCCCGACCGCCATCTTCTGCTCGCCCACCGGTACGTTTATTCTTTGCAGTAGCTTATCGCTCTAGTCCTGACCTCCGTCTCTCGCTCGCCCTGTAGTAGGCTGCAGCTTCTTTTCGTTTACCCGCCGTCCCTCCCTTTTATCCTTAGTTACCGAGTTTCAGCCCGTATTTTTGCCACGAATCGACTTGTTGTGGCCGGGCGTGGTCATGATCGTGCACGGCTGAGCCTGCCTAAAAACGTGTCCAATCTACGGTGCCTCCAACGAGCGAAGTAAGCAGGTTGGATGAATGTTATTATCCACGGGGATTAATTCCGAGTAAAGTACATGACCAATTCACTGTTCCGCCGAACTTAACAACGAAACACATTTAGCGCCTCGGGCGACGGGCGGCGATCAACCGCAAAGCAGAACAGCGCTAAGTTCGTTAAGTATCCGCTTTCACTCGAATATGTCCACACCGTATCGCTCATCAGGCTGTGGATCGTGTCGACGGCTATAGAGAACGGAACAATCGGCCGCCGGAGGCGGTTGTCTGCGGTAGGGAAATGTAGGGCACTGTCTGGGATCGTTCTTGGATGCATGACCTAGTAAGTTAGTACAGGTCGACTGATTACGCCGCCTGGTTCCTCGACGAAGACTCGGAGGAGGCGATCAGGCATATCAAGTCTGCATACCATTGGAGCATGTTCATTGAGGTAAAAGCCACGTCCATGTGTAATGCTGCAAATACGGCACAGGAGCAAACGGATTTGATATTGCGAATGTACGTTTCCACGAGTAAGGTCGGAATGTGCTAAAGCCCGGATCGCTTGGATATAGTCAAACGGTATCCCCGAAAATTTTCCGGGAAGAGCTTGAATCAAGAAACTCAATTCTCCGCGCGAAGAAATTGCCGTCATGACCAAGAAATTCAATTTGTATTCCTTCTCTTTAGCTCCTTTATTGTCCGATACCCAGTTTAGCAGCGTCGTCGGTCGTACTCCCGGTGAAAAAAGTCTACAATCCATTCAAGTCGAAGGGGGGGCTGCGCTATCAATTAGTGGGATGTGAGCCGTAAGGTAAGTAAGTACTCGTAATAAAGAATCTCGATCCAATCATTGCTAATACCTCGGGTCAATGTAGCACATTTTTCATGCTATGAACCATATATTCATCTAATGCAGCGCATAAATTCCACGATGACGTCGAGAAATCTGCAAAGCTATTGTGATAGCATTAATCTTGGTCTTCAAGTCTCACCTGGTGGATTCAGGTGGAAGCGCTCCACGACGTTGTCAAGGCTGGATACGTGCAGTACATTGAAATGAGCTCGCGTTACGCCTGGCAGTGCGCGTAGCTTCGTCGTGCGGATATACAGAGCTATGATTACATGCAGATGCATTTTAGTCCATGCGCATACCTCTGCTCGCACTAACCAGCTCTTCGGACTATGATGTCATTCACAATCGCCTCACGCCGTTCATCTCATATCTCCATACAAGACCATCGCAGCTTAATTTACCGCGATGAGAAACGCGAGATGATTCCAATGCTCAAGGTTCGCAGTCTCAATGTTTATGCTATAGGGAACTCACTTCTGCTACGGTACTTTGATATGTCTGCAATTCCGTGATCCTCCCTCGAGCGTGGGTTATTGTGTCGCCCATTTGAGAAGCAGAACTTGACATCAAGCGAGGCGAGACAGACGTGTATGTTCATCCGTCCACCCTGCCTTGACCTCCATGCGTAGGATGCCGCGTTAACCGTTCAATCCCCTAGGGTTCTGAAAATATGAAGTCAATAACTTACTAGAAGCAATTGAGAAACCAGTGTATTCAATACACTAGAGATGTATGCAAGGAGCTACCTCATCAAACGGCTACAGCTATATTCAATCTAGATGCAGCACAAAGTAGCGTCAGAGAAGAACTTGCGTATGACAGTAGTGCTCGTTCAGATGATGTTGTACTCCTAATCGTGTGAGAGCGCGAGGAGGAATAAGTTGTCATTGTGCATTTCCCATTGTATATACCAAAAAAAATCATCCTGTAGACATCATAGCAACGTACAGAAGATCCTAATGCCCGATGATCTGCATCGGCTTGTACGGCTCCTCGAGGTACTTGACCTCTTCCTCCGTCAACTTCAGGTACACACCCTCTGTCGTGGTCACGTATCTCGTCAGTACAGCCTTCAAAAAAAATTGATCCTACTCACCGAGAATGTCTTTCAGGTTCTCCAGACTTGTTGTCCCAACGATGGGCGCCGCAACGACTACAAATGCAATCAGCGCCAAAATTAAGGAGCCGTTACGTAGAGAAGGGAAGATGCGTGAGTGTAGGTTCACAAACATATAGGTGTATAGCTCAGCAAACGTACCGTCTTTGGAGAACTCCCAGGCTGTTGCTACCTGAGCCATGCTGACCTGGTGCTTCTTCGCGATCTCCTCCACGCTATTCCCATCCACGCAGCACTTATCAGCGCCACAACGTCCCGAGTGAGATCAGAAAAGACGAAAACTGACCGATTGATGATCTGTTCGAGCGCGGGAATATCGTCATACACTCTCAGGAACCTAAGCGACGGGCGATAAGCATCGTTCTGCATATACAGCTAAGAGACCGAACAACACACCAATCCGTCTCTCCACGCTTAGAGTCCTTCAGCTTGTCGAATGGACGACAGAGCAGCCCACGTCCAAGGGGAGACCACGGGATGGACGATACACCGAAATACTGTAGCGCACGTGCGGACGGTAAGTTTCCCGAAGGATGAATGGTGTCAAAGGGCGACGGAACGGTCGAACGAACCTTGAGTGTGGGGATCATCTCACGCTCCTCCTCGCGGTAAATCAGACTGTAGTGGTTCTGCATGGAGATGAATGGCGTGAGACGATTATTGATGGCATAGTCTGGATACATGTGGGCGCGGTCAGAAAGATGTTTTGGCGGTTGAAATGGATGGATTAGACGTACTCTGCATAGCGTGGACTGTGCGGCAATATGGAATTAGTACACGAGGGAGGAGGACCAATGAATTGGGATGGCGCACATTCCCAGGCATAGCACGAACTCATGCCGATGTAGCGTACATAGCCGGCCTTGACGACATCGTGTAAAGCTTCCATCTAGAGGAAGCGCATCACATTTACAAAGGGTAGGTGCATGTATGGACGAAAATGTCGACTTACCACTTCTTCTATTGAAACGACATCAGGGCGGAACCGGTGCACTATGACACGTGCACATGGTAAATATATCGCTCCAATCGAAGAGAGAGGACTCGCCCTGGAGGACATCGATGTAGTCCAGCTGCAGACGCTTCAAGCTAGCCTTAACCGTATCGAATATATGCTACACATATAGTCGTGTTTGAATTAGATCACCATGCATTCCCGGGGGGAATCAAAACACACCTTGCGACTCCCACCCCACTGGTTCACGTAACCCAGCTCATCCGCTGCAAAGGGGTCATAATATTTCTCTCCATGAGTGCGCCCGCAGACACCGGTGAACTTTATCATGTTGAATGCGGTGAGGCGACGGGAGTGTCGCATATTGGAGGAAAACACATACTTTGGTCATCACCACGATTTCCTCGCGCGGGAGATGCAGCTTCTTGATTGCTTTACCGAGGATTTCCTCGGAGAGACCATTCGAGTAGACCTGTTAATGCATCACGAGTGAGTATCCCGTATTAATAATCTTCAATACCCTCTGAGGAAAGAGGGGTTATAGCTCTCACATTAGCAGTGTCAAACGTGTTGATACCCGCATCGTATCTACGCGTGTAATGAAAGGGAATTAGCGATAAAGAGACTGGAAGGCATATGGAACTTACGCGTATTTTATGTGCTTGTATGCCGTCTCCTCGTCAAGGAGCCATCCCGCCCAATCGGTAGAGCCATAGGTCATACATCCCAAGATAATTTTGGAAACCTTTAGGCCGGACTTCCCCAACCTCACTGTATTATCACAACACATCCCTCCATCGGCATTCTTTGAGCAGAAAGAATTGAGTGCGCACCATACCCAGGACGCTTGGATGGAAGCTCAGGGACGTCAGTCTGAGACATTTTCAAGTGAGATTGCTAGAACAGATGAGATTGTTTTTGAAACCAGGGAAAGGGGTATGTGGACTAAGTTCTGCTGCAAGCACATTTTGCTTTTATACATAAACCCCCTGTGCCTTCGAGCAAGGAGTTTCCAGCCGGGAGCATTGCGTGTCGTGCGGCCCCAAGTCGGAGAAGATGTGTGGGTCTCGAAACCACCTGCAGTGAGGCTGCGCATTTGTTGTGTAAGATGTCTGGACTGCCGACACGATTCGTTCTCGAAGCGGCCGGGATAAGAGACGCCAGCCACCGACTTGGCAACGCCAACAGTAAGTACGTGCTGTGAACGTTCGAGTCGTCGTGGTCGTCGGACGCGATCTGACGCGTCACCGGTTCACCAGCATCGCTCATTAATGCATCAACCCGGACGTTCTACTTGGTCTCATGAGCGCGATCATTGTCCATAACTTTGCACAATCTACTCGGCATGATGTATAATGCTCTCGTCAAGTGATATGCAGCCTAAAAACAATGATATAGCAACCTGTCTCCTTTGATCAGTTTTATGAAATGGAAATCTCCGCGCACTTTTGATTACTGGCCACCTCAAGGTTCATTACTCATGCCTTTCGTCTCAGATCTCAAAGTTCAATATCTCCTCGAGCATTCAAGCCCTTGGCGAGCATTGTTTGTTGGCACGACCACTAGGGCGGCTACGATGCGCAAACCGCATGCCGACTCTTGATATCCACAGTGACCGATTTCAATTGGTGCGCCGAAGTTTAAACTGGGGGGACCATATCGCTGTAGACGGGGCCGCAAGAACGCAACGCGCACAGTAGGCAACGATGAGAGGGTGGGGATCGCCAGAGGGCTGTCCACCATGCATGTCGAGAGTTGATCGCACGATGTTGCTTGTGACTCTACATACAACCTTCCTCCGTTCATCGTTGGCTCCCCTTTTCTTCATACCAGGTACCCCCGCATCGTGCCCTCGAAATCGACGATATCCTTGCCGACGTGTTCCATCACCTCAGCCCTCCAGCGTCGTGTCCATCAAGTATGGAAGACTGGTACGGGGCCGCGGCGGCCCCATCATAATGCGCGTCGCTGACCTGCAAGGTGAATATCTCTTCCTAAACCTCGCGTATTTGAAGTGGGAAGTAGACGGCACCGGATTGGATGGATGTATAGAGAACATTTTCCTACCTATGGCAAGCACGACCCTCCGCCATTTAACGCAGACAAAATATCCCTTCGAACATGCGGTGATGAATGTTCTACCAAGACCAATTGCGTGGTCGCCTCCTCTTCATCGTATCGAGTTTGACGGAAGGTGGAGAGCTCTCAGTGCGGCGTCGCTTACACTAGGCTCATTTAAAGATCTCCAAATTCTTTCTATTGGCATCGTACTCAACTCTCACGACATCACCGCCTTGCTCACAACTACAGCTTCTCACAACCTGACTGACCTCAATCTCACTCTTTGATGAGGATGTCAAAGAGGAGTGATACGTTTGCAAATTTTTCAGGCAAATTCAGCGCAGTGTCTCAGAGTCGCTTACGTTTTCATGGACTGTCTAGTGTGCGAAGTGCCTGCCGTTCAGACGCATGCCGCGAGACGATCGCCTCTACATTCTCAAGGATCTCCGCGGAAGCTGTCGTTAAAGATCGACGCTGCGGAGAACATGAGACTCAAGCAGGTTCTCTCCCCGGTCCGCACTCTGCGTCTCCTGCGTGTCATGGCATTGACGTCACATCTCCCCACTCCCGAACTGCACAATATTTTCTTCACCTGGCTTTGGCTTGAAGAATTTCACCTTTACAGCTGGGACCGGTTTATCTTGAACGGGGGACCACTACAAGTGCTGCTCGAGCTCGCGTCCGCGTCGTCTATCCGCCTGCGACCGGCGTTTGTGTGCGTGTTCGCAGAGTGAAGCGGTTTGAGAGAGCTGGTCAATCAATTGAGCGGTAGCCGAATTATTGGCGTGGCAAGTATGGACTGATCAAGACTTGACTGTATGCATCGGACACGTTCCCCTCTTCAAGGCCTCTAAATAGGAAGAGACTTACTGGTGCGCCACTCTATATGTTCTCTGACAGTGATACTCATTGGGCGCCATGTACAGCTCAGAGTTGAGTAAACATACGAAGTCGCTGGAACAAAACATCAGCCGGTCAGTCTCGAGCCACTGTCCTTTGGTCGGTGGGGTTCGAGTAGTCAACGGACAAAGGGTGTGCGGGCCGGGTGACGTAGAAGAGGTCGCGAAGAAGGTGTGTGACCTCTGGAAGCACCTTCGAAGGACGATGCGTCCGCCGAGCAATGTGCCTGCACGTTCATGGGCCCTGACTGACGCATCCGCGCTCCTGATCCGCGTCCGTGCCCGGATCTCCGTCACCGCCATTCGTTTTCGGTGCCAATTGCGCTCATGCGCGTGGGCGTGCTTATGCAGTCGTCGCGGCGCCCATGGTTGAGACGACAAATCTTGAGAACTGGAGGTGCATCCTTGGTAAGCAGCATGTATTTCAGTGATCCTGTGCAGCTTGTGCTACTAAGAGGTGTGTGAGTCCAACAGAGAGCGTACATTCGAAGCTTGCGGAGGAAATTAGCTTGTCAGAGGATGTGCTGGTGCAGATCGTTCGCATCGGGCACTGAGGCATTTTATTACGAAACTTACGGGACGATACGGTACAGTATCGATGTGTATCGCGATGATGAGGACCCGATTGAATGGAAGGATGTTGTTTAGCTTCATGCGTAAGCCAATATTTCATTTTTGCCGAACATATCTCCTCTATGCTGATATCGCTTCTCAAGTAGACAAAGAATAACATAAGATAAATGATGAAAAAAGACGTGATGTCCCATTCCATATAGGTATACAAAGAGATACAGAGTAGGACATCTAGTAAGGCCCTCTAGGAATAATTACACCAAGTAGTATCCTAAAATCCAGTGGTAGGACCATACGCGGTGGCCACAGAGAGCGCGGTGAGGATGAAGGTATGCAAAATATGGAATGAGGAGCAAGTCACGATGGTCAAGTCCACGTCCTCCTGCCTATGCCCAAGAGCCATGTACAAGCGCATCATACGCGCTCTTGGACTTCAGCGTACCAATGAGGTTTGCTTTGCTGCTGCTGCTGCCGCTACTGCTCGCGATGGTGGCTGGCACGCGGGCCTCGGCATGCGCAACGGTGACGACGGTGGACAAACCAGTATGTCCATGAAGCTGTGCCTGTGGTGGAGTAGGTGATGCAGGCGGGGTGTGCGGCATGGAACTCGCATAAGGCAGAGTAGGGGTAGATGCGCCCGAGCTCGTCGAGGAGGACGAGCGGGTGTACGGCGGGCGTTTCTGCGGGACAGGTCAAGACTGTCTACACCGAGGTGTGCCACAACCACAACATAGCCGGAATAGGGATAGCTAGGAAACACAGACGCGCGCGGGGCATGGGGACCTAGCGAGACGAGAGACTTACGGGTGCCATGAGGGAGTGGAGGGCGAGACGGAAGCTGTGGACGCTCACGTCCCGTTGGTGGTCGTCATGGCCCGTCTGTGGAGTGCAAGGCGGATGAGTGGAAATGTCGGGAGATCAAAATTGGCAGTGCTGACCATGGTGTCCGCAGAAACACAGTGACAGAACGAATGCAGCGTCGTGTGTTGAATTGTCAACAGCGAGTGGCCAGGCGACTCAGTCGCACAGGAGAGTCGCTGGAGGAGGGGCTGCGAGAGAGCCGGAGGTGGAGAGGAGATAGTGCGCGTAGAGGGATGCGGAGGAAATTTTGCATTTATAGGCTGGGCCTCAGGGGCACAAGCCCCACCGTCCTGTGACTGGGGCGACACGACTCCTGGCGACCGCCGCACCCATTCCCCCTCGGCGTATCTTCGCACCGTTTCTCCCCGCACGCCCCACGGGGAACTAGCGCTTGGCCTTCGCGGAACCAGCTCGGGCGTTCGAATCCTCGCGATCGCAGATCCGAGACATACGGTCGAGTCATCGACAATGTAGTAAACTACTACGCAATTGCGTCTCCAGCAAGACGATCTCCTCTCGGAAATCCGTACGAGCCCATATATATTTTCGTGAAGGCGCGAATTTCAGATGCAAGGATATGGTGTTACACATCGACCCGGACCCGAGCAAGGAGGACCAGAGGATCGACGGGAGCAGCGACGAGTAAGAAATAGGATTTCTAGCAGCAGGTTCGGCGAGTACGGATGTCCATATGCGATCTTGCTAGGTTTGAATGTTTACTCTGTGCCAATATTCTTGGCAGAGCAGGAGTTACGCTGACACTGACTGTAGTGAAGTATTATACTGTGAAAAGGTGTGGCCCGAACCACTGGTGATTGTTGGTTGCAGAGAAGAACAAACACGCCAGGACTCCTGTTTATGATATCATCACATTACGGTGCTTCGTCGTGAGGTCTCACAGGCTTCTAAGATATGATAGGTGCTGTGCTCGATCTTAATTTCGACGCTACGCGGTTCCGGCCAAAATTTTATATCAAATCAGCTCAAACATTTTCGGTCCTCGTCGAATCCGACGTTGATCAGCGGTTGGCGCTGCCGCTACTCTCCGCCCGCCCTTCGTCGGCTCTACCCATGCGTAGCTCCTGTGCACACATCTTTAAGGTCATTACGAATATGTATGGGTGGGACATTTACGGTCACGTACCTCGTAAAGTATGGCTTGGGCTTCGCGCTGCTCATATTGACGTCGTGAGTTTGGGGTGAAGACAGATTTGAAGATCGCTCACCAATCCAGCTAAATACCCCTCGTGGCGTGCTTGCTGTACAGTCATTGCAGTCGCTTCAATGAGCCTCTCAATTATATCGTTGCAACGTGTGACAAACCTCTACCCTCCTCTTCGTTTCTGCTTCCTCGATTTTTCTCTCCTTATGCACACAATTCGGATCAGAAGTGACCAAGACAATATTGAGAACTCACGAGTTCTCGGTGCTGCCGTTCCTCGTCTCTGCGGTGTTGACTTGTAGCAGGACCTGAGGTCAGCGGACATGTCGCAATACTCTCGCGCTTCGGTATTATAAGCTTTTGACATGCTGATAGCGATTCTGTATAATATATGAGTACTCCGCTGAGCGACTATACCCAAAAGGTATGGCATGCCTGGGGGAGGGGGCACACTGTGCAAATTTTCTAGTAAATTTGTATCATCTGGTGGTTTGGGCAACACGCCTAAAGGAGTTGTAAATAATGCGCAGAGAACGCATCCATCATCGCTGACTTTCTCGGTAATCAAATTCAAAGATTGCGAATGCTGGCAATAAAAGATCCAGCGTGCGCAATCGTCGAATGTTGAGTGGTGCTTTGGGCCCGGGAAGCGATTTCGACCCGATGCTATTCAATGCTCAATGTAGCACCCCAGAACGGGTGGCCGGAGCTAGGTACGCACTATGCGTACTGAGTCTGCTTTGGCTGGTGCTTCGAGCGAATTGGCGATGGCTTGGACACGTATCTGCCTAATGTTGGGTCGAGAACCTCCCCATCTAGCTCACAGAGATGGACGGTGAGTTTTCCATGGAGTTCACAATTGGTCGTCACTGGGGTATCGCCTCTGAGATCTAGATGTCAAAGTAGGACCATGGCACACAAGGCAGTCAGAAGCAGAAAATACGCACTAAGACGCAGCCTCTTGCACCATGAAAAGGGCATGATGTTGCGTAGAGCACTGTCCTGCCAGCCAAAGCTCTTCGACGACTCGACGTCTTTGGGTATGTAAAAGTGCTCAAACTGTCGATAGATCACCTGTACATCTGGCATATCAAGTATGTGGCAGGTTATGCACGTACAAGAACACCGTCCATCCAAATGACTACATATACTCCTTCATGACTTTTGGGTTTCTTGAACATGAAGTAGAATGTCTAGTCAGTTCGCAATGAGGGGGCGAGCGGGTCCAATCTCGTGAAGATACCATACAGAATCAGGGGAACAGACGATTCGGCAGCTGATCATCCTGTCGCTTCTCGTTCCTGCAGAGTGCCGTGTTTGTTGCAAATCTTGACTCGCCAGCCGCTAGGGATGTGCGAAGGCATTCTTGTGGGGATTGATGCAGGAACAAATGTTGACAGTTCCACAGTAGCGTTAACTTTGAATTGATAAACATATTCCAGGAGATAGATGCGGCCAGAAGGCTGAAGAACATACTATGCTGTAATTGAGGACAGATCTGGTGTGCTCGCGTTGGCAGGCTCGCACGGTCACCTCCTCCGACTGCCGGTGACTCTGCCACTTATCTCACATCTGGCCAATATATCCTCCTCCTCGACGATTCAAATTGTCGTACCCCCTCTGAGTCGTACACTGACTCGAAGTCTGGTCGTCTTTCAGAATCCCCTCAGTCGCAAGCTTTTAGCCCGACGCCTCGCAAAACTTTACTGGAAGTCTAAGCACAACACGACATACGCGACTAAGGCGCGTCAAATCATATGGGTCTTCCTTTATGATCTGTTGTCAGAATTCCACGCTCGACAATCCAGTTTTATTCTCATCTTGGCCCGAGAACCGATTCGCAAATGGTTCAATCACCAAGGCTTACTTCTGGCCCAATATTCAATAATTTCCGGTGAACACTTAAGGAACAAGAAAGCGACACGGGGCAACGTTAGGAGGAGTTGAGGTTTGCGAGTATGACGCCGTGGTATCCTATTCGACAAGTACAAAATATAATGGCTGAAGAGATCTCATGAAAAACCCGACTCGCTTGGATGCTCACGCGATCCTCTCCTTTCACAGATGATGTGGGTCGACTTGTACGGTTCTTCGATACTTGATTCCGTCCTCTGTTCACTTGAGGTCTGGAACATTTGACAAGTGCGTATCTCAGCCCTTATTCCCGGTCTTGGGAGCAGGAAGTACTCATCCAGGATTTCCTTTAAGTTCTCTAGGCTTATTGTGCCTATAATTGGTGCCATGACGACTATATGCGCACACATAATGCGCATGTCGATTGGTTTCGACGTTCGTGGTGACGTAAATATGTATCAGGCGAGATATGCGTCAGCATGAACGCAGCGGCATCGATACGCACCATCCTTGGACAGTTTCCAAATGATCGCGATCTGGGCCATGCTCACGTCGCGTGTCTTCCATATCTCTCTATATACCCTGCAAGCATACTCTGCAGAGCGCTCACCCATTACGACAGCTGCCGATAACGGACAGGCGAGACAGACCTGTTGACGAACGCCCTCATACATCTTCACGAAACTATGCATGACTCGGTTAGCGATCAACATGGCAGAAGGGTTGCTTGTCGCACAGAGAGTATAACTGGGTGGGCCGCAGAGGATTGAACAATGTACTTATCGTTGGCGCTGTGCCTCGTCGCCCGCTGCTTGTCGCCCGTGTCGAACAGCATCCCGCGTCTGAGCGACGACAATGGGATTGCAGAGACTCCGAAATGCTGCGGATGGCCACGAGGATGGGGACATCACAAGTTAGCCTGAAGAACAAGAGGATTCATTCAATTCGAAGACGATGGACCTTGAGCGTGGAGAATATTTCCCCCCCCCTTTTCGCGACATATCAAACTGTGGTGGTTCTGCATGGAGACAAAAGGCGCAAAGTGGTGGGTTATCGCATAATCTGTCATTTCGGTAATCACACATGACTATATACGTTTGTACCAGGCTTACTCTGCATTGTATGGACTGGACAGGTTGGTCATCATGTTCGGCATCTGGAAGCGAAGCACGAAGCCAGAAGGACTCACATTGCGAGGTATAACATGAGATCATGTCTATGTAACGCGCATAGCCAACCTTGATGACGTCGTGGAGTGCTTCAGTCTATCGTGGATGCGCTTATCATCTCTCTCGGGAATTTGTCTTCATTGAACCTATGAACTGGATTCTTTGAGCATTTTAATGCGTTTACACAAAGAACAACAACATACCTTGCAGCACGTCACTATAATCCAGCTGTAATCGTCTCAGACTATGCCGGTCGACGTCGAAGATATGCTGCTCCTCGCTCAATCGAGTCACCTCAAAGTCCTAGTCCCTCAATGTGTACCCGCCTTGCGACTCCCTCCACACTGGTTGACGTAGCGATCTTCAACCTCTGCCTTCTTCTCATCGAAAAAAAAAATGCGGCTCGTTCACGCTTCTTGAGATCATGCCCCAGAACTACGGTTAGAGATGGATTCAGTCAATCGTGCACCCCGATACTGCGCGAGTAGGCCCTGAACCTTGGCCATCACAACAATACTCGTGCGGGAGATTTGGTTTCTTAATAGCTTTTTCCAGGACCTCTTCGGAGAGCGCGTTTGAGCAGACCTGGGTCGTGCATGTGAGTCGGCACCTTGTCTGCACTATCAATATAAGCTTACATTGGCCGTGTCGAAGACGTGGATTTCCGCATCATATCTGGGTGGAATATAACATGAGCGTGCCTGCCAAATTCAGGTGCAAAGGAGTGTCAAGCTCCTTCACGAGTGCCGGTCAATTTTGCACTTTTGCTTTGGAATAGTCATCGTCCTGATCACTCAGAATGACTTATTTGCTTCCAACAGAGTGGATTATCGGTTCATCAAACTCTTGAAGAAACTTGATCTTGCTCTGGAGCCTCACATGTGCGCCCAGTTGACGGAAGTGGTCATGAATGTCAACGGGAGGTGTGCCTTATGTACTCGATGGACAAAGATGGTACTTCATGACAATTCGTAGACTTCCATCTGCGACTGGTGACTCAATGTTTCACGCAATGCCAAGTGTCTCCATTGGCCTGTACGGCTCTTGAAGGTACTTGATTTCTTCCTCAGTCAACTTCAAGTGCACTCCCTCTACGAATGTTGTTAGCACCGTTCTTTCGTTTCTCAATTAGGAAATACGCACCCAGGACGTCTTTTAGGTTGGCAAGACTCGTCGTACCAACAACGGGCGCGGCCACGACTATTAGTCACCGCACATTAGGCAATGTTTATTGGGCAGTTCAAGTCTCATGCATACCATCATTTGATAGCTCCCACGCAATTGCGACTTGTGCCATGCTTACACCATGCTTCTTAGCAACTTCCTCTACTCTGTCGTGGTGTCTCAGTCTCAGTGCTGATATGACAGGTCGACAGAGCTGCAACAGACTCACCGATTCACGATCGCCTCCATGGTGGTGCTCCCATCGTATATTTTCAGGAACCTGCAGAGCAGCGGCGTCCGGTCATTGATCAGTATAAATCTGCTTGGTGGTCAGCTGAGAAGCGTACCAGTCAGTCTCCCCACGCTTTGTTGCCTTCTGCTTGTCGTAGGGTCGGCAGAGCAGCCCGCGGCCGAGCGAGGACCACGGAGTGGCAGAGACGCCGAAATACTGCCACGAGCGTAAGCGAGTTGTGTCAACATATAGTGATATTTCTTACTTTGAGCGTCGGGAACATTTCGCGCTCCTCCTCGCGGTAGATCAGGCTGTGATGGTTTTGCATAGAAATGAACGAAGTGAGGCGATTGTTGATAGCATAGTCTGATCAAATGTGAGTGTGACTGGGCAGTACATCAAAGGTGCAACACTCACTCTGCATGGCATGGACTAGTTGTATCATGCATCGAGATCAGCATACAAAGGCAGCAGTCGAAGACTGACGCACATTCCCAGGCGTAACACGAACTCATACCGATGTAGCGGACGTAGCCGGCCTTGACTACATCGTGGAGAGCTTCCATCTAAATTTCGAGTTATGAGTTCAACACATTCAAGCTGCGAGGAAATAGCTCACGGTCTCTTCCAAAGGAAATTCGTCGCCTCGGAATCTATGCACTGCACCTCTCGTTAATGTCATCATCCACGCCATTCCCCAACGACCTACTTTGCAGTACGTCTATGTAGTCCAGCTGGAGACGCTTCAGACTTTGCTTGACCGCATCAAATATGTGCTATTCCGCACGTTCAGTCTTTCCGTATGCATCTCGTCTCGGGCACTGACTCACCTTGCGACTAGATCCCCATTGATTGACGTATCGCCCCTCTGACTCGGCTTTATTCATGTCTACGACGGTCTCACTCTTGTCGCGAGAGACAACACCAAAGAACTAGGTTTCATGGATTCTCAAGTCTGTTGTAATTGGATATCGACTGACAAAGCTCACTTTGGTCATGACAACAATCTCTTCACGAGGGAGGTTTAGTTCCTTGATTGCCCTGCCGAGGATTTCTTCGGAGAGGCCATTGGAGTACATCTGTAGAGCGCATTAGATGTGAGCGTTGTTTTGTACGGTAGCCTGCTCCTGCTTACATCCGCAGTGTCAAAAGCGTTGATGCCGGCATCGTATCTGCGCAGACGTCAATCTTCTCGTCGCTTGAGAGGCCAAGTTGCGACATATTACTTACGCGTATTTGATGTGCTTGATCGCTTCTTCCTCGCTGAGGACCCAGTCCGCCCACTGCGAATCGCCGTAGCTCATGCATCCGAGGATCACCCTAGACACTTTAAGCCCAGATTTTCCTAGGCGGACTGCAGCGACCCGGATGCATCAGACAATACACACTTCCCAGGAGAATAGCGACACCACATACCATAGGGAATCCGCTTAGAAGGCAACTTGGGAACCACAGATTGCGACATGGATTATTTCTTCGTGAAGAGAGTCGCAAGCTGGAGAGATAGTGCCGGATGGTTCCATTCTCTGCAGCATTCCCCTCTTATACTTAGCGTGGGTGGGGGATGTCTGCGTATTGACACGACGACCCTCACGTACAGCGAACGCGTATCCCTCAACAAGCACCCCTGCCGAAGTGTTGCGCGTATACTCTCGTCATTCTGGTGCTGTCACTAGGGTGCCGCCGTGACTTCTATGCGAGAGCCGTTGCAAAATGATAGAGCAGTCGTGCTCCGATCCCCGGTGAATCGTTATAGATTTCTCGTCAAATTCGTCAAAAGGAAATGAACGCCGAGACGGCTCGGAGTCGGCGTGGGGGTCCGTCGGCGACCTTTTCTCCTGTCCAATAAAAAATCAGGACATGAATTACCGAGATGATAGGATGTTGATTCTGTGAGTCTGGACTTCTACTGTGTAGTAAAATCTATCCCGGAATTTGTAGCTAGCAATTGGCTACTGTCTAGTGTTGGAACTATAATCAATACGGACTTACTTATTTACTTACTTACATTCTTTTCTAATACTTTCCGTTTATGGTAACTCCGCTGCGTATAGCACGCGCGCCAGTGAGTGGCCGCGCCCACGTCTTGGACCTCAGTCCTACGATGACACAACGAATGTGTCGCGCACATAATCACAACTCGCGGTAAGGTTGCCATAGAAGATTCCTTACCGAGAAATCATCCAGGCATTAACTCTAGAAAGATGTCACATTTTCTCGAGTAAAACTACGAGCGACTTGATAACGATGACGGCGAGTGATCGATGATCCTTTCAGAAATAACATCTAGGGCTGGCCGAGCAGTGGTGGCGACGTTGCCGAGGAGCTCCGATTCGGGCACGCTAATATATCTCATTCGCAGCCTTCCAGATATAATTGCATTGTTCTCAAATATTCGTAGACGAGGCTCAATCACTTTCCTGTCCCCGATACTATAATGCCATAATCAGTTTATGTCACATTTTTTCAACTACTTGCCATGAAATGACCTCAGATGTTCTGCCAAAAACTTCAACCTACCGTGGCGCCAACTCCTGCAACCTAGGACGCCACCGACGATCCGTATCGGACTACATGGCTCCTCGTTCGTCCCCCGTTGATCTCAGGCTCAGGAGCACAGGTATGGCGAACGAACGAACGGCAAAATGAGCATCATTTCTTCGCCAAATAGTTCAAATACCACGCTCGCCGATTCACCAATAAGGGCCATCAAATTTGCGAAGTTGGTTGTGTTCATGACAGGGAGTGCTACTTGCAGCGCGACAGGCTGCGGCGCAGTCAACGGTCAGCGGCAGAAGACTGCTCATTGGAGACCACACGCATCACCCTCTGCTCCACCAATCACATAGTCAAAAATAAATTAGGAGGCTCTCAGGCCTGATTTTCCCAACCTCAGAGCCAAAACTTCGCTGAATACAACACACGCCACAGATTAGAGCGAAACGAATGAGCAACAGGTTCACAGGATACTGCAGGGAAGACGCTAGGGGAGATCAACTATTCTCGCATTCCTACATGAACAAATGAGTATGTAGAGGCTGTGGAGCCCCATGCCTGCAAATGTTGTCCGCTACCTAATACAAACACACAAATATCAAAGAAACAAGATCACAAATCACATCCAAGCCGAGGGTATTCGTGTATGATCGTGCCGACCCAATATCTGTTACAGGGGGGTGGGTAATCTGTGGTCCGTCATTGGGCGATTTTGAGCGTGCTGAGGTAACGCCGCCCGAACTACAGGTGAAGACAACGGGAGGGCACCCTACATCCTGCTCCAGGCGATATTTATCCGCAGAGTCGCACGAGAAAATCAAATAAGTATGAGGCATTGGTCCGCTCGCGGTAAGATATAAAACCGAAAATCGGATGTTTGGTCGTTTACTTACAGCTTGGTCCGCTTCCACATTACATATTCGATTTCAGTAAGTGATGTCCTCCGGCTTATTCAATAAGCGGCCCTCCATTCCACCCTCTACCATGATCACTTGTCCCGAAACGTGACCAGACACAGCAGTAGATGATATGAAGACAACCTGAGTCGCGATATCTTCAGGCGTAGCAACTTTCTTCAACGGTGTGCTGCGAGGGAACGGCATCAATCCCGTTTACACAAAATGCCATAAAAATAGGGTAGGAAGACGCACGTAGCGAGAGCACGATATATGATTTCTGGCTGCTTCAATGCGTGCTCAGCCATGGGTGTCTTCACCCATCCTGAGATAGAGGTTACTATATCAGTAGATGGAACGAACTCCATAGATCGGGTCTACACACCTGGTGCAATACAATTTACGCGTCCCTTCGGTGCGATTTTCACAATTTCGTTCTTGAGTGTCATGGCTAGCCCATACATCATGCCTAGACAACGGAGGAATTATGATTCTCCAGTGGAAGCGTACAGCGACAAGTAGCTTACCGCTCTTTGCAGCTGAATAGTCTGCATGGCCGATCTCACCGTACTTGCCTGCCGTGCTCCCAATCAACACAATCGACGCTTTATCCTTCTGCTGCACCGTCGCACCCTCCAGCTTGCGCATATACTCACGCAAAACGAGGAAAGATGAAGTCAGGTTCGATGCGAACGTCGAGTTCCACTGATCGAGTGTCATCTGCGATACGGTGGCATCTACAGGTGGATAATATCCGTGGTTCACTACGAGGATCTGCACTGGGCTGAACCCTTCTGTCTGCTCATTGAACATTCGTATGACTTCTTCTTCAGCGGTAAGGTTGGCTTGGATGGCTCTAATACGCGTTGGTCCATACTCAGCCAGTAGCGGCTCCAGCGTCGCGCGAGTCGTATTGTAATGAGCTGTGACGATCGCCCCTTGCTCTGTAGAAGTGTTGTCAATGAAAGTGTATGTTGACTTATCGAAACATCCGGATGACTGATCAGTTTAGATGGATCGACGTACTCAAATATAGGAGACATGTTGGCAGGCCAATTCCTCCGCTCGCACCTTTGTATGACAAGTATTATTACTGTGAAAAGATGTTCTGATTAATGAAAAGACTGCCCCGGCGACTGACCTGTGACCAGAACATGAACGCCTTCAAGTTGCAAATCCATGAGTATGGGCGTCTACTGATATTAATGGGCGTCTAATAAGCGACTGGGAAGCGAGGCCATCATTCCGCCCGTTGCCCAGCTTCTCTCGGCTGGCAGACCTCACTCACCTAGTGCTGTTTCCTGGTACTTATTCGCTGGCTGCTGCTTGAAATCGCGTTTGTGGCAAGAACAGTGCGAGCGCCGTGAGAGATCGATACAACGCCAGCATCGCGGCCCGGTCCTGAATACAGCCCGCGGTGGCCGGCGCCGAGCAGCTGTGGGTTCATCGAATATGCAAAAGACGTCTGCTGCTGAGCATCTTCGTGACGTCTCGCGTTACACGGTGCAGAGGTGAGCAATAAATTACAAGCGCTATATAGAATCTGTCTTGCTGACGGACTGCAAGTTCTGACGTTCTTTCGGATATGCGCGTGAATGTGTCGGAGGAAGGGTCAGACAAAGTACTCTGGTATAAGGCAAGTTCCCTTGGTATTCCTACATTTGTCGTGCTCATTTCGATGGTTGAAGGAAAGGTTCCTTGCAGATGAGGAAATTGTCGACAACTTCGTTGTATGTCCGTCCTACCGTTCTATCTACGATCCTATCTTTCATGTAGATCACAGGATAATGCTACCTCCACAATCCTATGGACCATCCATCGCCCCAAGCGCGGCTGGTACATCCGACTACGCACTCCCTCTTTTCCTCCTGGCATGTTCATCCCACTACTTCCGCTCCCCAAGACATCACTCTACCACTCCGACACTGCGCTGACATTCACATGCCGAACAAACCCGCCATCGTACTCACTGAGTAATTCCCAATCAGCAGCTGCTGACACTGACTTCGACGCTGTACACTCCTACCCGCCCAGCTCACCTCCATTGACGCCCACGGTGATCGTCAGCCCTCCTTCCCCACGTTCCGCGCATGCAAAGCTCGAAGAGTCGAAGCCTATTGTTATCGTACCTTCGAACAATGCATCTTCCAAAGAGCCTCAGAGTCCAACTGAGGTCACGCCATCCTCGCCAAAGCCGGTCTTGAAATCAGGACGGAAAGAAGCACTACGACCGTCGCCGTTACCACTCACACCTATGGCGCACTTCCTGCTGAGCCCTGATGCGACACCCCGTGCCCCACAGTCTGTAACAGGTGTATCAATTTTCTCGCGCGTGCTCTCGGCGCTGAAGAGTAGCACACCATCGCCTTCATATTCCTTCACCATGTCACCCATTACTACTCCTTCGGCAACTCCGCCATCTTCTGGATCGCCGAGGGGCTTGGTACCTCCTACACCCGCTCCGCTGCTGACTTTCCACGATCGCACGCCTGTTTGGACTGTATATGCAAGCTCGGGGTGTATTGAACTGGACAAGATGCGAGTCCGTTCCCTTGGTGTGGAGACGAGCTTTTACATTGCAATCGCCTTGACATACCTCGATTTCTTATCCGAGAGAGACGTGAGTCATCGTCAGTGAGATCACCATTCGGATGTTGATAATGCATGCTTTCCAGAGTTATTTGGCGGCTCTGGGCGATTGAAGCGGACAGTTAGCTTATTGTATATTTCGCACTTCCACTGTGTGAACACTTATACCCGTGTCCTAATGTGCTATTTAATAGAGGAACTTAAATGCGCTCATTCGCCGCCTCTGTAAGTTGTTGTCTGCTTTTGACCAGTCTGTTCGTTGTTCTAATTGAAGGTAATATGAGACTGTCCTGGATTTCGTCTCTTACATTACCTACTATTACTATTATTTCGGCCATATTGTATATCGAATGGCTTGACTTAATTACCTCCAGTGGAGTCGCATGCATATTCTGTAGGCCGCTTTAACGCTGTATGTAGTCTCCGGGCGCCAGTTGTACTTGAGCTCCAGGCGCGAAAGAGAGTCGGCCAAGCGCCATCCCAAGTCAATTACAACTCGTCTCGACAGTCGACTTGCTTGTCATGCTTTTTATTGCTCGCACCTTGAGGATATAATAGTCTAAGCTATCCTCATCTGGTCTGTGGCTGGAAGTCTTGCGTGCAGCTTTCAGGAATGCCACCTGGACCTGCATTTAACTGGTTCTGTGTAGCACATTCAGTCGTCGACATCCTCTCTAATGCTGCACACATACGGGCATCTCAGCTTGTTGCGACAGCTGGGCGACCAATTCCCGGGAAAGAAGCTATCTCTCGCGAATGGAGAGGTCAAAGAATAGCTACAGAGCAGCCAGAGACGTCGACTGCGAGCTTGAGCCAGCGCACCGAACATGCTGTTCAATTCACGGAGGCTAAAGTTCCTTCAACGGCTGATTCTTCACATCTTATAAGAGATAAAATATCTTTCGACCTTCCGGAAACTAGTGATTTGGGGCTACGAGATCCTGTCCTTAGAGCTGGTGTAGATCCATCCTTCCCCATTACCCTGCAGACTTTGGAACCCTCCTTAGGTCCTCAACATTCGACAGGTTTCTCCGATGTGTCTTCTTCACCCACGAATGCACCGTTTGAATCTACGAATGCGTCTCCCCCGAAGAATATGCCGATGTCTGATGCTAATGTGAGTCCTGTATGCTTTACAAAACCAGAAACAGAGTCGAGTGCCCCTCGACAACGTGGACGAAGCGACGATCATTTTTCGAATTTCTGGACTTCACGTACAATAATTCTAAGGTGAAAATGTTTCTTATTCTGATTGCATCTATGTTTAGGCTTCCGCCATCCCTTTGCCCACTCGCCATCTACAATCCTCGAAAGTACCTGCTTCGCGCATAGGTCGACTTTTTCACTATGGGGGTGAGTACAAGCAACGAGGGGACGCATACCTTCGTTCAAGTGCATACAGCTGATTTAGCGACAAGGTCTGGCTGCATCGCTCGGGTATGGCGCCGCTTCGGAGCTGCTTCGACGCTCTACAAGTTCTGAGGAGCAACACGCGTCGTCGCTGATGCTGACGGAAGCCAACATCAAACGCCTTGTCGCGAAACTCACTCAGCTGCGTGGAGCGGCTCTCAAGCTGGGACAGTTCATGAGCATCCAAGGTCAGCGTTCCGCAGGTGTATTAAAATTGTACGCTTAGGGTGCCAATGCTATTGCAAGACAGCCATGTTCTTCCTCCGGAAGTAGAAGAAATATTTCGTAGAGTCCAGGATAGCGCACACTACATGCCCGATTGGCAAATGGAGGCGAGTCTTGGTCTTGGCTGCTACACGGTCGTGTTGATTGTACAACTTCAGGAAGTCCTCCGCACCTCCTTAGGCCCGTCGTGGGCGGACCACTTCGAGTCTTTCGATCGAATCCCCTTCGCGGCTGCGTCAATAGGGCAGGTACATTCGGCTGTGCTTGCTGCTTCCTCTTCTCCCACTGGTGCCCCTGCAAAAGTGGCCGTGAAGATCCAGTTCCCCAACATTGCTAATTCTATTGAGACTGATTTAGGTTATGTGAAGATGCTTTTAACGGCGGGTAGGCTTCTACCGAAAGGGCTTTTCTTAGACAGGACCATCCAGGTGAGATATATATTTTAACATGTGAAGAATCCGAAGTGTCTGATATGTGTGGTATCTCAAGGTCATGAAAGCTGAGCTGGCGGACGAATGTGATTACTCTCGAGAAGCTTCGTTTCTGCGCAAATTCGGCTTGCCATCTTACCTGGGGAACGATCCGGATTTCAAAGTGCCCTGGGCGTGGGATGGAAGTTCTGATCGTGTTCTAGTCATGGAGCACGTTGATGGTGTGAGTGTGGGCGGTGCCATGATTAATTCGCTCAACCAGCGCGAACGAAACGATGTGAGTTATCTGTCATATCGACCGTCTCAAGAGGTCATGTGCCCGTGGATGCTAGTTATGACACTCTACCCTTCTGTAGATTGCTACACGCATCATTGACTTGTGTTTGAGAGAACTATTCTCCTTCCGGCTCATGCAGACTGATCCGAATTGGACGAATTTCTTGTGGAACAGCAAAACTCGTCAGGTAAGTGCACGGCTATTGATACCTGTGGTAGACTAGAAGCACTAATGGACTCGAACGAGCAGATCCAACTAGTAGACTTTGGTGCGACTAGAGAATATTCCAAGGAATTTATGGACAACTGGCTTCGCCTGCTTCAAGCTGCCGCAAGTGACGATAAAGATGGATGTATCGAATGGAGTCTCAAGTTAGGCTATCTCACTGGTGAAGAAGACAACGTGAGTCCTATGGAATGTTCCATCGCTCCGGTTGATTGATGAATCATAGATCATGCTCGATGCGCACGTCCAGTCAATGACTTTACTGGCGACGCCGTTCAAAATAGATACTCCACAGCCTTTCTCTTTTGGAGCAAACTCGCAGTGGACAGATATCACCACGGCCATTAGGGCCCAGATTCCGGTGATGCTTCAGCATCGGCTCACGCCCCCGCCTAGAGAGACATACAGTTTGAACAGGTGAGAGCCTGGCATTCAACCGAGAACTCAAAACTAAAATGTGACTGCTCAGAAAACTCAGTGGTGCTTTCCTTCTAGCTGCGAGACTCAATGCGTCCGTTGACTGCAAGGTCCTTTGGGATCGTATCGTGGATGACTATCAGTTTGGGTGATTTCGAGACTTGATAGAGCATGTGAGTGACGAGGATTAGTGTAAATGAAAGCGTTCAAACACTAGAAGATACCTTACGTCCAGATTGAATAGATATACTCTGGATGCAGCAGATACTTGAGAATGTTGAGCGGGCATCTAGAGCTACCGCGACGAGCTGCTGAGTGAAAGATCCGATTCAGCCTGGCTGCCGGTGTGTGTGATGCCAGCCTCGGAGTATGGATGACGAGGGCTCTGTTCTATTGCATGCACTTCTGCTCATTTGTTTCCACTGGCGACTAGCGAAGAGCTTGCATCATTCCTGGACCTCTAAGACTCTAAGTACTTGGCGTATGTCGACAAATATGGCATCTCAGATCGGGACCGATACTCTCCTCCGCGCAGCGCCATTGAACTCGGTAGGGGTCCCGGTGCGCATCCAGTTCCGACCCACTATAATGCGGCTTCCGGAATCTATGACCGTGGATCAAGGTCTACGGCGTGTTCATAAGCAATTCGAGCATGAGACGAACCCAATGCGCCAATCGGTCAGCCTTTCCGCCATGCACCTCGACGTAACCCCCTATCCCCCTGGCTACGGTTAGCTGCCTATCGTTATGCATATCCCTCTTCATTTATGCTGATGTATAACATAGTTTCCATGCCCCGGTCTGCAATACATTGTCGCATTCAGTGACATGACGTAGTTGGACCACATATCTCAGGTCCGACAAACCCAAGCACGTTTGCAAAACCTGGAGATAAACCTACGGGCTCGGGTACTAGTATATATCCAGTCTTATTGCTTACATTGAATACAGTTGCAGCCAGGCCTCGTTCTTCGCTACTGCCTGGACCAAGGCCGTAAATTTGTTCTGTCATTAATGCCTCATTTTATGACATGGCGTGACCTCAAGAGCCATTTCATCACAGACTCTTACAGGTTCCGCCCAGCAGGCCGGGGGAGACACTTTCGTAACGAAATATCCGACCTGCAGAGTTTTAAGCGGTCCTTACCGGTAGATACGGACATCACCTTGGAGGCGTTAGATCTCCTTCTGGGACCTAACGCGCTCTGTGAAGACGGCGATCTTGCTGCGCATCGCTTTACACAGGCTGAAGTCAAGGAAGTGCTATTGGATACGATGTCATGCGATCTGCTCAATGATTACGAAAAAGACAAACGAGGACTGGCCGTATTATATTCTTGTATATTCCGTACGCAACTTCACTCTATTAGTGCATCGGATTGAATCTACTCTACCTAATATACTTTTATCATAATTGTATCTGTACAGCTACCGTGCATTAGCGCTCATTCACTAAGTAAGGAGCTCTAAATACTTTCGCACGGATCGCACCCCCACCTGTACTTAACCCTGACTTACTGAGGCGCGACTCAAACGTGTTGTTTCCGTTACTATGGTGTTTTCGTCTCGTCCAGTACTATGAGCTTCTGGCGCGTTTCATCCAGGCGGGTGCAGCTCCTGCCAGCATCGACTCACCTCAATAATTTCTCACTCGTTGATATGATCAGAGAGACGCCCTCACTGCCATTATTTATCCTCTGTCCGCCGATGAAACTGCCCAAGGAGCCTTTGCCCCGTCCATCAATCTGAACTACGTCCCTTGCGTTAAGCACATCATGATGCGTCTCGTTTACATTCCCGATATGTATGCCACCTAGACTGCTGCCCCAAATTCAATTTCAAGATGAGCGAAGACTTCTTCAAAGCCGCAAAGTGTGTGGCTACTACTTGGCTGCAGCGAATCATGGATAGAGAAGCTTGCTGGAAAATCGACCATCCACCGTTGCCTGCGATTTTCAACTTCGCTCTGCTAACGTGTAACCCACCACAGCACCCTGGTATTCCTCTGCTCCTATGATATGAATGCGCAAGGTAACACAATCTAGTAGGGGCTACATACGTATGATCGAGAGCCTAGAGGCCCCATGGACTCACTAACTCAGGCAAATTGGATGTGCGCCGCACTGCAGCATGTCTACGGGTACACTCTAATCTAGTTTTCAAACTCGTGCAAGGGCTAACACTACGCAAGCTTCCTTGCGGACTTCTTCTGCGCAGCATGCATATAGATCATGTCCGTAAAAGGTCTGGAAAGCAGGAAGGAATTGGCTCAGTACTTCATTCAACGTGAGACGGAACGTACCCCTCGAAGCGCAATGCGATCACGTACACAATGTACACATAAAATGTAATCAGCAAGCCTGCTGGGCACTCAAACCTAAAGGGGAGCGAAATTCTGCCACAATCCAACCGGAAAGACAAAGAAGCTCACCATAGCGAGATGGCCGCAAAAGACATTGTGCTACCCACATACATTGGATCTCTCAGCACATTGAATGGGAATCCCTCCACCCTGTGGTCCATCAGTATACCAAAATAGTCGCCGAGAAACGTCCCAGTGATGCCCAGGGACCAAGTTGAGGTGACTACGAATGTCTGGCCCACGCCGAACAGGACGGCGGGGATGAACGTGTCATATGGCGCAGGTAGGATGGCCTGTTTGGGCTGGTCACGAAGCGCGCGTTCGAAACTGCAATAACGATCAGATGCATGGAGTAGGCATGTCAAGATATGGAGCGTACAGCGAATCGCGAAGCATGCCGAACGAGAAAATGAGAACTGCTAGAAAATAGCAGCCATTCTTCGCATTCCCTCCAAACAAACGTGTGATCGTCTTGTTCTTAAATTCTGTATCGATTATTACCGCGTGCGCTAGTGGTCAGACACGAAAAAATCGACTCGGGGATGATGCTGACCATTTCGTGCAACAATGTTCCATGCTGTGGGATTAAATGTGATTGAGAGCAAGGATATCCAGAGAGAATGTTGCGAAAAGTCGACAAGGGATGCCAACACGTCTGCCATGCTGGAAAGACGAGGAGAAAGCCCGAAGCCCTCACGGCGCAGACGAGCAGAGCACTGAGCAGAGCGACGTGTCGACTTTTGTGACGCGGTCAGACGCGGTCACGTGATACAATTAGACGAGATCCGCCGCGCGCCTGGGGAAGTGAAACAAGGTCCTGTTTCAATTTCTGAGCAACCGCTGCTTACATTCACTTACGGTTTCAAGAACACGCATTGGCATATAGGTAATATTATTAAAAGGCTCCAATTTTTATTATATTACGACTTACTAATGTTTTTATTTTATTTTATTTTTTATTATTTATATTCCATGGTTTATACTCCATACCGTAGGGTACATGCAGAGTGTAAATAAATCGTCAAAGCGGGGCGGTAATCACCCCGAAACGAACCCCTCGCTCGCGGACGAACTGAGGGGTGATACGGCGCGGTATGATCCTACGTCGGTTGGGTCGTCTTGTTCAATAATGAAATAGTCGTCCATCCCTGTGTCCGCAGCAAATGCGGGCAGGGGATACTCCGGGGCCTGGTTTCTCCATGCCTCGATTAATCGCGTTGCTGTAACATCAGCATCATACTCCGTCACAAAGAATTTATAGTCCTTTGATTCCGGGTGTACATCGGAGGGTGTCATATTGATTCTCTCGCAAAAGTTCGTAAACGCGGACTTCCGCATTACGGTATGACTGTATAGGAGGGCATTAGCGATCGAGTAGTGATTCCCCTCTTCTCTGTCAGTGGCAGCTTGAGCAAGGATTTCCGCCCACTCGAAAGTTGCCACCATAGGGTTGAGGCGTAGAAAGATGAGAACGTCATCCTCTGTCCAGCCTCGCTGACGACGCACTTGCGCCTGGCGCAAATTGTCCGGTGCATAATTCTGCACTACGCCCTGTTTTGGCCTAATCCACATGGGGCAGTCAAACAGGGTGTGGTCCCGATGACTTACTAAATGTTTGTGCCTGAGTTGGATCTCCCCGGTAATCAGAGAGATGGTTAGTAGCATCCTACAAGAATGAACGCTACAAGGACGGCATACATCCGCCAGAAGGTTCCGTGGATAGAGATTTAGCACTGAGCTCTCGCAGCGAGCCTCGCTGGGTGTTCAGCATCGGAAGCATCTAATACGCGCCGGTGCCATTCATGATGATTTCGAGCCACGTTCTCATCCTTCACGTCAAATCTACCGATACACACGAAAGTATCCTTTTTATACTCACGTCGGAGATCCCGAGATGCATAGCAGAGTGATGAGAGTCAGTGGCTGTATGCTGCGGGTTAGGCTTGAATTAAAAACTATCGTATAGGCACACGCCAACTTCAGAGGCTGCGAATGGTAATCGGCTTGACATCTATGCCAGCGAGGGATGTCCCACAATAAATCAAAAAATCATTTGGGTTTTACTGTGATATCTCAACTCTGCAAAGCACTTCACCTACTGTCGTCGACAATTTGATTGCTCCTAGAAAATGAGCTGATAGATAGAAAATCGTCGTATTAAGCCTATGCAATAGTATTATATCTGTTAGTACACCTAACTCTCCCATCAATCAACTTTTCTGGCCGTTTCAGCCGACGCATCCAAGCTATCTGCCATTAATAGCTCTCCTACGGCACATGTGCCTGCTGCCCACACGAGTAGCAGAGAGCTGATACAGAAGAAGCTGATGGATTGCCCGATCTCAAGCCAGGATCCTGTGCATTCGAAATATCAAATGCGCTCCAAATGTGAACGTGTTAAAGTGGACCTCACCAGTGTCCGTGACCTTGAAGAAGAATGTCATCGTCATGACTGATTTACGTTGCAGGTTAGCTCATTCAGTGATCCGTCGCTAGCATCAAACGCACCATCCGTAAGCGTCAGTGCGACAAGAAATAGGCTAAATGGAGGTAAATGAAGCCTTCTATTGAGCAAATGGAGGCTCGTGGCGAGAATGATATATGGCGCAATGATTTTGAATATCTGCGAGAGAATGTCGAATATAGTCGTACTTCCGAATGCCGGACATCGGTAGAAGGCACCTACCAGTAAGACTGCCATGAGGAACGGATTAAAGACAGGCACCAGCCTATATACGGGCTCCAGATAGAACGAACTGGAGCATAGGTCAACGTACGAAATACTCCCCGTATTGTAATTGCCACTTACGATATCGACGCGACACTAGACAAGAATTATCAGCTGTTTACGCATTTGAAAAGATCCGACTCACTTTCCAGTCCCGAAGAAAGCCACCTGAACGAAAAACAGGAAAAATATTGCTATACGCAAGTCATCTGCTCGAATTTTGTAACCCCGAAGCTCTTTGGAGGGAAAATTCCGCTCCGCTCCTCGCACAATCGCTTCGACTTCTACCCACAGAAGTAGAGTGGCTGAGAAGAAGAAGTAAAACAGACCCTCGACGCTGATTGACAGTATAACGAAGCACACTGAAAAGCCCAGGAAGAACATGAGGATTCGCCCGAGTGGATTTAATCCGGGAAGTTTGACGATGAATGGGGATGTCGAGGCAATCACTATACGAGGCCTTATTAGTAGAAAAGTCAACAATTGATTTACTCACAAAAAACAATCCAGCCAAGAACTTGATTGAGCAACGGTAATCCAGCCTTGGCGCGAAGACTGGAGGCGGAACTGGCTGTGATGACCATACTCGCGCATATGAGAAGGCACTGGTTGTGGGTATCAAATCCAAACACTGGAGCAATGTTGGGTAGAGGACATAATTACCTGGAATCCGATGGCTGTCCTGAACGACCGTCGAATCTGCTTGTCCACTGACAGCTCAAAGGCACCCAACACCCCTACCATAACCATTAAAATTCCACCCACTAATCTAAAGCCAAGTCAGTTCGTGCAGATAATCGTCTTGACAGCCTACTAATGGCACTTACACAGCCGTGATATCCTCCTCTTTGTCAACGCTGAGCATCGGGAATACAGCAGTTGCCAGACATACAGTCGACCAAGGCAGTAGCTTCGTAAAATGCTGGAATCGAGCTTCACTAGGCCATGATACTATTGGCCACACGATGCCGAGCACAATAAACCATACACTCCAGATTTCACGATGGGTATACCCTATCTTACGCAGCACGCATCAGCTTACACATCAGGGCAGTGTAGAGACGGAGGAAGACATACCACCATACTCCCCAAGGCGCCGACGACCATACAGCCTTGCACGAACAGCTTCAGAATAGTCCACAGTCCACTACCTTTGTTCATGAAATGCCCTGTGAACGACATAACTGCATACCGCGCAGTCTGGTGCCAAAAATAGACTGGGAAACATATGTAGAGGTAAAATGTCCAGGGTGACCGCTGTAACGCGAACAAGCCCCAGAACAATAGCAAAGTGAGAGTGCCAACGACATCAAGCCCAGCGGTTCGTGTGGATTCTTCTGCACTATGAACGTCCCGAGTTGCAAATATCGACACTGAGCCGAAAGCAATCCAACCCAAGTATGCGGCAGTCACTATGGCGCGGATAAGAGTACGATCATATCTGGACGGTCAACATCAGATTCTTTGCACTCATGGTTGCACGGATGAGCGTTTCTTACGTCTCAAGGTATCTGAGGCCATCTAGGGTGCTTCGAATTAAATCGGCAGCGGTCGACCTAGCCTTGCTGAGCTCTCCACCAGCAATAAGGTGCTCTATCTCGGTTAAAAGTTCTATACCGGGGCTGCTCGCGCTTGAGTTCAAAAAGAAGGGAAAAGGCTGATACAAGAGTGTATGCGCTTTCTTTTGCTCTGAAGTAAAGATGAGACGTGATGACACGATGCCGCCTCAGAAGCACGCACCATGCTTCACACGATAGTGCTCCAGAATAACCTTGATCGTGTGAAAAAGAATCAGTACCACATCAGCGCCGAAGTGACAACGGTGACCAACCTTGGTGTTGATGAGCGCAGCCTCTGCTTGCGACGTCTCTCCACCTTTCAGATTGAGATATCCAGGACGAACCACATCCACATCAGGCAAGACCCCGACAGAATTTACCGGCCAGTCAACGCCGATCAGCGAGGTCATGAGAACTGACACATCTGCCTGCGCGACGTCTCGGCGGAAAAGATGGGTCAACCCCCATGCTTCTGAGTAGGAGTCATGTGAGGAAGGAACACTATCGGGGAGAGGTCCTCTAATGCCCTTGCCCCATGTCACAAGAGGCGTACGTGTACTGTCAGGATCTTCAGCCAATAGTAAACCGAGCGAATGATGTCGTAGAGATGTGAATGGAGTGCTCACCACCATCGCCGTGATTCCCAATCTTGGACATGCCATGATCGGCAGTAAATATGAAGCTAGTCTCCTCGTCTCCATAAAAGTCAGAGAACAGCTGCTCAGTCTGTTTGACGATCTCATCTACAACTTGGATATTGGCCATGTATTCCTGTTAGAATCGAATAAATGGGTGATCATGAAGTGATGAGCTGCGTGGACCATACCGGTGAATGGGGTCGGTAAGAATGCCCTGTCGTATCTAAACCAAGAAGATGGAGGAAAAACACGGTCTTGTCCTGCTTTAGCGTATGATCCAGAGCAGCGTCACCGGTGGCGTTATGAAAGAGTGTTCGGAGATGGTCCAAGACCCACACATCCAACGCTGTGGCATCTGTAAAGCCATTATAATTAGCCAAGACAATAGATTGAAGGATCGCAAACGACAGACCTTTTGTGAAGTCCTCTTCATCTTCATCGTAACACCACATGTCAACTTTCCCCAAGGTTGCACCCCGAGCAAACATGGGCAAGATGTCCGGTGAACCGAATGAGAAGGTGTGGCTCGATCTGTTGAATACGGAATCGAAGTCCACCTGTCTGTGTCTTAATACGTGTTACGATGATTGACCGAAAAAAAATGCTTTACGGGATTCGTTTTCCAGCCCTAGTATAATGACTCAGTATGTACGAATATGGCCATTTCGAGACGGATTTTCATTACTTTTGTGACCGCAGACACGTCCTCATACATGCCGCCTAACCCACAGCAATCAGCTACACACTGTGAGCAGAGCTCACAAGGGTCTCACCGATGAGGGCAACATGTCCAGGCCGACTTTCCGTAGGTACTCGAGTATGTGAGATACCGAAAGCGCCTCTCGTCTGGATTATGGAACGTATATGAGGAGCAACAACCTCCGGAGCACCAGGAATTGAAGGAAATGCATTGAGGGCAAGCAACAAATCCGCACGAAGCCCGTCCGCTACGCACTCACTCGTTGAGTGAGGACAAATGTTTGTCTCAAACTACGCACCAACTATCAGCACCAGACGCTTAGCTTCCGCATGCTCTAGCCGGAAAGGTTGCATTCCATGGACTACGGGACTGGTAAAATAGCAGTCGAATACAGTGCCAATATACACGAGATGAAACACCAGGCCTACGAGTAGGAGCCGTAGGATAGGAGGCCTGCGTTCTCCCATGTTCAGCAAGAGCGAAGGGCGAGCAAGAACAGCCTCTAGCAATCGGTTCTTTCTTTCAGGTTGAGAGACATACAGATCAGGAAATTCTAGGAATATGTCTGACTGGCAGCCGAAGGATATCAGCCAAAAGTGGGGATTCAGGGAGAGGAAGCTGTTGACCAAGCGAGTCGTGTGAGCTGAAGCGCGTCTCTATAGGCGTCTAATTGACGCGTCCATGCTCTTCAAGTTCACTCTGACTTAAATGAGTTGTTTTATCGACATTTTCATTCATCTTTGACAATGATCACATCTATCCAACGAATTGCTAGCCGGCGCGGGCGGACGTCGTCGTAGGCATGGGCCACTGATGAGATGCTGCAGTTAAGGCTGGAGAGCGGAAACCGTTACCCACAAGCAGAGCAAGTACGTGAAGTCGACTCGCTTCAGCTGATTATCACCAGCACCGAAACAAGATGGCTCTGAGGATATAGTGAGCAATTAGTGCATTTGTATACCATCTTTCCTGGTTAGGCCATCAAGCAGAACACAGCTCGAGTCGCGCCCGGGAACACCTTGCCTCGTGCATTCCCATAGCCGCAATACTGGATCTTGGGTAATGACCTACGGTTTTCCAGGGTGTTCATCAAAGTCCTCGTTGCTGCGTGGAGGCGCTCAAACAATGTATAAGCCCGTGCTAAATCTGCACGTTCAACGGCCGGCCAATTCTATCTGGCGCATGCATGGAGCATCCGTGAAGGTTCGGATCAGGACACTAGCTTCGTACTCCCACCCGGGCTACAGTGTCGTTCTCCACGCCTAGCCGCGGTATGATTTAATCCAATCGCCATTCTACTACTGCGCCTCGTTGGTTCTCGACGTCATATTCGACTGCCGCCCAGTCACGACATCCAGGTTCATTTTCTCACCGATTCCCTTGATCTTGTACACGGTATGATTGTATGGCCGCTACTTGTTTGACTACGGTTCGCCAGCATGCTTACACCGGTGGAGTGGGCATTCTCCCGGTTAGTCCCTGCATCTTCGACAACTTATTTTGTAATTGTATTGACTTCCCCAGCGTCCTTGTCTGGTGCGGTACTCAGAAACTTCATTCCCGAATCTTTCCTCAGAAGCCCCGGTATCTGATTTGACTACTTCAAGGCTTATGCGAAATGTGGCCGTTTGAAATCAAGTCAGCCGACGGACAACTACTCGGTTGCAAGACGATACCATGTTGCTTTTATTCTCACGAGTATGCCTCAGGTGAGAGGATTGATCAGCTATGGTTCTGGTTCTTGGCTTGTGTTGTGGATCTAAGTACTCTAATCAGCGCGTGCCATTAACCGTTTGCTACATTCCCCGCTGTGCGCGCATCTGAGGATGGTAGTAGGGTATCAACGTAAGTGCTCTTTTGCTCGGATGTCAGAAGCTGACGCTGTTAGCCTGTCCCGTTGCACCAGGTTACGCTGACAGCGTCCTCGACCACGTTACTATCCGATTAATCTCCGACCATACCTGTACACCATTTGGGCTTCTGTGTTCTCATCCTAAGTAGGGCGGGGCGCAATCTTGACGTCGTGAGAGACTGGCCGTGCGACCAGCGCCGGACGGAGGCAGCCGTGGTGCAAACTTGCATAAGCCAGGGTGGCCAGCTGATTCCCCCCTGACTGCATCCGCGTGCTGCCGTCGTAACTTGTACGGTGCGACCCGATGTTGTCCGGCCAGTGCTGGCTCAGTCTGGGTCAGGCCACCATCCGTCGTGTGCCTCTGCAGAGTCCAAATTCAAGTCCTGACCTTCGACTTCAACTTCGATCGACGGGCTTCTGAATTCTGATCACGGCGTGCTATTTTTGTAAGCAGGCCGCGCGTGATTGGAGCGCCTCCAGGTAAGTAGCCATTCAACAGCGTTCCGAACGGACAACCGGATCGCAGACGTGCCAGATGGCGCAAAGCGCGATGTCAAGTCGCTACATATATGTACCTATACCCGGTTTTCCACAGGTTTACTTGGCTGACAACCAAGGCAAAACATGTGCTAACCTCTTTACTTATACGGACCAGCCTGCGATTCGTTGCATCAGTGTCATGGTAAGGTGTTCCCCCCCATCTCCCCGTCACACCCAGGATCGATCTCGGTCGCCACTGGCCCATTGCCTCTTCAGTTCCAGAGTAGGTCCACACAATTGGGTTCTAGGTACGCTGTGGTTCAATGACTAGGTTCTGTCGATGGTACTCATCAGTCATGCGGGGAAAGGGCGTAGACAGGCACATTCGAGTGCGTCCAGACCGACCGCTCTGGTTCAAGAGCTTGAGTGAGAACTATCAAATCCGCCAAGCCTCCACAACGCACCCCGTCGGATACTTAGTCGCACTGTGAGTATCCGTTGTGGAGCATTTCGGATGATGAGTAACAGGTGGAGCCTTGAATCGCTTCCCAGGTCTTCAGGCAGACGCTCTTGAAGATGATCTCCAAGTTTCCTATGAAGGTCCTTCGAAGCATCACCCGGCGTGTGTTTGGGCGAACATGCAAGTCTCCCTCTCAGTCCTCCCTTGCGTCGTCCAAGGGTCGGTCACCGCCATTGCCGATTGAGCTTTTTGAGCTCATCATCGACTTTGTGCGACCGGA